TAAGGCCCTTTGGCCCCACCTGCTCTCTGGGCCCGGCCCCGCCGACCCCCTCCGTGACAGGCCCCTTCCGCGACGAGCCCCCCTCGCGCTCGGGGCCTCTCTGGCCGCCTGCCACCTGGACCCACTCTCGAGTAGCCGCTACAGTAGGCCTTGATTGGACAGGGCACGCGAGAGGACACAAGACCCTCCCGAGGGCCACATCGCCATAGGAGTGTAAAAAAGCACGTGTCGCGAGGCACAGGACACAACGGTACCCTTGAGCTGGCAAGGTTGACCTACTAATAAATCCGGGCCGACTGTACCGGGGGGGCGGGGGGAATGAACGGAGGGCAATCGAGAAGGAGCAAGTGGCCACAGAGGGGCCCCAAGGCTGCCGCCGCGGCCACAGGGAAGGCGCTGGAAAGGCACGCCTTCTCTCCCCTGCCCGCACTCGTTCCCCCCCCCCCCCGGTTGCCGCCCGCCCGACACTGCGGCGGCCTCGACTCCCCACGCCCCTGGTCACCCCCGGCGGCATCCCTCGGGTGACAGCCCGGCGTGGGCTGCCCGACCTCCTCCCCCAGAGGAGCAACGATGGGGCGGGACCGGCGTGGAGGGGGGAAAATCAAGCCGGAATCGGCGATACGTCGCCGATACATCCAGAAGAAGAGAAAGCCCCATACACATACTTTCGACGGTCCGCGCGGATTTCTTGGATCTGCGCCAGACCCTCCTCCCTGGGGCGGCGCCAGCGGCGCCACAAGGGGAGCCCAGCGCAGATCCAAGAAATCCGCGCGGAGGGCCAACAATTTATGCATGTTTGTTTTTTCCTTCGGCGATCGGCCCCAGATGGCGATTCCGCACGTGCCTTGGCGGGGTTGGGCTATCCGATCCCATATCGGCGATCGAAGGGCGATTGGGGTCGATGCCTCTCCCACTGAGCCTACCCCGAAGCGGTTTCTGGGCCGCAACTCGCCTCTCCAAAGCCGTTCGGGACGATCCAGGCACCCCGGGAAAGCCCTCAGCGAGGCGCAACTGCTGGAGAGAGCGTCCCGAGGCTGGAAAATCGCCGAGAAACAACGAACCCGTCCGACAATTTCGAGCCCCGAACCCCGAAACCTGAGACTGCCCCCCCTATTGAGCGGGGACCGACCGTCCTTGCATTCCTATAGGCCTACCACGACACGGTCTCAGAACCCAAACATGTTCTCATAACAAGAGCAATGCTCTTATAACATCAACCCGATGTGCTAAAACAGGACAGTTCCAGCCAGAAATGTTCGAAGAACATTTCGTGCAGACCACACAAGGTTCTCAGCACAATATTTGGTGGGTCTATAGGCGAGCCAGGACGCTTCGCCACTGCTTGACCCTATGCCTTAGAATTATGCCCCCCTATCGTTGCTCCTGCCCGCCCGGCCCCCCTCCTCCCTTTCGCGGCCGCTCGGCCCGCGCGGGAGGGGGGCCCCGGGGCTCAAGCCCTCCGGGGGCGGCCGCCCCTCATGGCTCGCTCGAGCCGAGCGGTCGCCGGCGGGGCCTCTCGCCACACCTCCTCGCCCTCCCAGCAAGCTCCCTCCTCCCCTCCCCTCCCCTTCTCTTCTCGCCTCCTCGTCCTCCTCCTCCTCCTCCTCCTCCTCCTCCTCCTCCTCCTCCTCCTCCTCCTCCTCCTCCTCCTCCTCCTCCTCCTCCCCCTCCTCCTCCTCCTCCTCCTCCTCCTCCTCCTCCTCCTCCCCCTCCTCCTCCTCCTCCTCCTCCTCCCTCTCCTCCTCCCACCCACATCCGCAATCTCGTCCGCCTCCCCCAGATTGGAGGGCGCGACCGCAAGCGAGTTCGATATCTACACATGGTTTATCTCATTCTGGAGGGGTTACTGTGCTTATCTACGCCGAGCCTTCCGCTAAGGAAGATAAGGACATCGACTATTCAGTTGCACCTCCATACCTACAACGCCTTCAGAACAGAAGTCATGCACCTCGCATGCCCCATGATCTGCAAATGGATGGTCAACGAAATCCACGTGCGCAACAATACCGCAACTGCACTCAGAGAGGCATATACATTTTCATGCACATATGTATGAGAGAGCGCGATTCGCGGGCGCCTGCTCAGAACAAATACCCACCCACCCACCCGTGGAAATCGAGGGGGGGGTAAGGGTAAACTTCTCCCCCCGCCTGGGTTCGAACCTGGGGGGGGAGCCCCCCCTTCTCGGAACCAGGAGGGGGGGGTACCGCCCTCCCAGGGGTTAGAACCTTGGGGTGGGGGGGAAAGACAGCGACGACGGCCAGCGACGACGACGACGACAACGACGACGAGCACGACGACGACGACGACGACGACGACACGACAGCGACAGCGCCGACAGCGAAGACAACAAGGACGACGAGGACGCGCCGACGACGACGACACCGACGCCAACGCCGACGCCGACGACGCCGAGCACGACGCCGAGCACGACGCCGAGCACGGCGCCGATACCGACGACGACGACGCCGATAACGATGCCGACGAAGATCACGACGTGGAGCACGACGTGGAGCACGACGCCGATGTAGACGTCGTCGACGATGACGACGACGAAGACGCCGACGCTGCCGACGACGCCGACGCCGAGCACGACGCCGACGCCGGCGACAACGACGACGCCGAGCACGACGCCGAGCACGACGCCGAGCACAATGCCGACGACGCCGTCGCCGACTGAAAGCGCGACGCCGAGCACTACGCCGCCGACGCCGGCCTCGACGCGGACACCGACGCCGACAACGACGTCGACGTGGAACACGACGTGGAGCACGACGCCGACGCCGACGACGACGCAAACAACGCCGAGCACGACGTCGACAACGACGGCGGCGACGACGATGACGCCGAGCACGACGTCGAGCACGACGCCAAGCACGACGCCGAGCACGACGCCGACGACGACAACCACGGCGTCGCCTGCGCCAACGCCGACGCCGACGACGAAATCGACGCCGACAACGACGCCGACGATGACGCCGACGATGACGCCGACGACGCCGATAACGAGGCCGACGCGGACCACACCGAGCACGACGCCAAGAACGACGCAAATGACGACGCCGACCCGGCGCCGACGCCGACACCGACGCCAGCGTCGACGACGACGACCAGCGCCGCCACCGACGCCGACAACGACGCCGAGCACGACGCCGAGCGCGACACCGACGCCGACGCCGAGGCTGGCGACGACGACGAGGACGACGACGCCGTGCGCGACGCCGAGCACGACGCCGTCGTCGTCGGCCCCCCCCGGGGTTCGAAGCACCAGGGGTGAGACATTTCCTCCCCTCCCCCCCCCTGGGTGCCGAACCCGGGGGGGATCCTACTAACAACCACAGAGAGCGCCACAGAGGGAGAGACAGAGAGAGAACAGGAAAAATGGGGAGAGAGGGAGAGAGAGAACAGGAGGTATATGAACGACATGCTAAACATGTATATGAACTGACGTATATGCAGATGAACGACATGTCAGAACGTGGAAGATAAAGATAAATACATGGGGAGAGGAAACAAACAACACACATGCATATAGACAAGGACTTATACATGAAAAAGAGAACATGGGTATACATACAGAACGAGAAGACATCATGACAACGCATGCGCGATGTATGATACAACGCAAGAGAAGGACATCTCATCATACTCGATGGCGAGATAGGCACATCGGACCGCGTCTGTGCGGTTGACTCCTGCAAACAATCCCCATCGACGCATGCCGTACTGATGCATCCTGCAAGCTCGACACGATGAAGCATTCAACTCTCATATACTATTACGCGTGCAATTCTACGACCCCTCTTGGCCTTACCATCTCACCCATGCCGTTTCCCAATCTAACGGGGCGCCAAAAACAGAAACAACATGGGGTGGCGGAGTGAGCGAAGCGAATACGTCAAGACATAGACGACACGTGAGACTGTCAGTTGGCGAGAGAGAGAGAGGGAGGGAAACAAAGAGAGAGCGGGTTCTCCGTAGTGCCGGGGAATTTCGGTGCGGCTCGGAGGTCAGTAAGGAGGCGAGGAATCCAACAAGTCTTGGCTCACATCCGCCACCATGCCTCGAGGCACGAAGCTGAGTTATCCGCAGGCTCTCATGTGTTCTCTGTTATGTTCTCTGTACCCAGGACTCTGAGATCATAGTATTCTGAAGGGCTGGGCCCTAACATTCTCAAATTTCCTGGGCGCTTCTGCGCGTTATTGGGCTGCCCAGCATGACTTTCCAACGGCCAGAGGGACCCAAGACGGGCCAAGACGGTCTCAGAAAGCGCCCAAGAGGGTCCAAGAGGCCTCCAAGAACGCCCAAGAGCGCTCCAAGACGCCGAAGATGGCCCCAAGACGGCTCAACAGTCCCCAATGAGCCCCAAGAGCGCTCCAAGAGGACCCCCAAGACGGACCAAAGAAGCAAACATCATGGATGTTCCTTGTACTTTTGCATGTGTTTCGCGTTCTTGCATTTTCAGGCTTCCGACGCTCCAAGATGGCCCCAGAGGCCCCCAAGACCGCCTCAAATCTGCCCAAGAGGCCCCCAAGAGGGCCCCAAGACAGTCCAAGAGGGTCTCCCAAAACGACCCGAGGCACCCAAGATCACCCAAGAGGGCCCCAAGACGGCCCTAAGAGGGGCCCAAGAAGGGGAACACGAACCAACAATTCTAGCCCTCCGCCCCACGAGGCCCCCAGGAGGCCCCAAGACGGCCCCCAAGAGAGCAAAAGAGGCTTTTAGAGGCCCCGCGAAGCCCCCAAGAGGCCAGCCTAACAAGATGCTCTAGAGGCGCAAGAACGGCCCCCAAGAGTCTCGAAACTGCCTCCGAGAGGCCCCCGCGAGGCCTCCCATGATATCCAAACGAATATCAAAGAAGCCACTAACCCTCAACCCAGGCACGGTCCTGGGATGGGCCGAGAACCACTAGATTTCTTCTACTACGAACGGCTCACACAATAATTGAATTCGTGCTGCCAGAACCAGGCAAAGAGGAGCCGGGGCAGAGGGGAGGAGATGGGGCAACATTCAGGACATCGGCATCAAGAACAGGCGACAGGTCAGTCGCGCCATGATGGAACGGCTGACGCGAGCGGTCCTCTCTTTGCTGGGAGGACGAGAAGAACGACGACAATGACGACGACAGGATGAGAACGAAACCGCTGTTTTGCCTCAGCTCGCCGCCGCCTCGGGCGCCGCGCAAGGCGCCACTCCGCATGCCTCCTGCACGGCTCGGTGAAACCGCGCCAGGTCGGGGGCCGGGTAGACCTTGGGCTCCGCCTGGGCGATGGCAAAGAAGAAGCGCGTCGGTGGAGCGGGAGACGGAGGTGGACGAGGAGGAGGGTGAGAGCGAAGGACGACGAGGATGGAGACGATGAGGACGGGGGCATCGAGGAGGGGGGCGACGAGGAGGGAGAAGAGGAGGAGTGGGAGGGAGAGGAGGGGAGGGAACGACGAGGACGAAGAGCGACGCAGGAGGACGACAAAACGAGCAAGGGAGGGCGGGCCGGATGTGAACATGAAGGATCACGAGCGTGAGGATCGGAGGCTACCAGGAAATGACCGGGATGCACCGCCAGCTTTTCGCGCCCAGGGTGCTCCCCTCTCTTTGCGGCCGCGACACTTCCTCCTCCTCCTTCTCCTTTTCCTCCTCCTCTTCCTCCTCCTCCTCCTCCTCCTCTTCCTCCTCCATTCATTGACCTGGTACATGTCTTTTTCACTGTCGCACCCCGAGGCCGGCTTCTAGGGCGGGGGTGGGCGTTTCGCCTGAGACGTCCTCACCATTTATGACCAGAGCTGAAACAATTGGCAACAATTTCACTGATGGAGTGCGGGTCGTTCAAGATGTGGTTCTCGCCGTAGCGCCGCGCACATTCATTATTAAAAATTGCGAGAGTTTCACGGATTGGGAGCGGGTCGTTTCAACATGTGGCTCTCGCCGCAACGCCGCACACATTCGTTTGAACAAGTTGCAAGAGCTTCGCGGATTAAGGGCGAGTGGCTTTCAACATGTGGCTCGAAAACATTCAAGTACAGTCGAGAAACAAAGCACAAGAGCTTCGCGGATTGAGGGCGGTTCCTTTCCAAAATGTGGCTCTCGCATTAGCGCCGCGTGCATTCGCTTTCAACATTTGCAGATGATGTTGGGGGTGATAATGGTGGGGTTGATGGTTGGGATGATGATGTTAAAGCTGATAGTGATGGTGGTGATGAGTTCGAGGATGATTGAGGATGAGGATGATAATGAGGATGAGGATGATGATGCTGAGGATGGTGGGTATGATGAGGATGAGGAATTGGATGATGACACAGAGGATGATGATGATGATGATGATGATGATGATGATGATGATGATGATGATGATGATGGTGATGATGCTGATGCTTATGAGGATAATGATGATGCTGTTGTTGACGATAATGGCAGTGATAATGATGATGCAAATGACGAGTAGGATGATGATGATGATGATGATGATGATGATGATGAGGAGGAGGAGGAGGAGGAGGAGGAGGAGGAGGAGGAGGAGGAGGAGAGGAGGAGGAGGAGGAGGAGGGGGACGGGGAGGAGGGAGAAAAGGAGGAGGAGGAGGAGGAGGAGGAGGAGACGCAAGAGAAGGCGTGGTCGACAATGGGGGAGCGGCGTGCCAAGCGAAGTGAAGGGGAAAGGAGGCGGGAGGCGCGAGGAGGACGTAGGAGGGATATGGAGGGTGGAGGAGAGGGGGAGGAGTAGCAGCAACAAGATCATTATAGGGGGGGCGGAAGAGGTAGGACGGAGGAGGAACAGACGGAGGAGGAAGACGAGGACAGACTCGAAAGGAGGAGCACCAGCAGAGGCAGGGCCATGAGACAGAGAGGAGCAACAGAACGGGGGGGAGCAGGGGGAACTTGGATATCGCGAGGGGGCTCTGGGTGAGGATGACCCACCTCGGGCCCTCTGCGCCAACGCGCCTGTCCTCAAGGAAAAACAACTACAACGACCTAACGTCCGGAGATCCGCAAAGATTTCTTGGGTCGGGCGCTGACCCCCCTTCCCTGGGGCGCGGAGCACGCCAAGGTTGGCGCCAAAGGCGCCGCCAGAGGAGTCCAGCGCAGACCCAAGAAATCCGCGCACATCTCCAACGATCGAGGTTCAGGGTGAGCGTTTTCTTATTCGGCGTTTCGACATTGAGCGGAAGGGGGGGGGGGAAGGGGGGGTCTGAATCTGGACCTTTGCTTGGCGAGACTGTCTGGAACAATGCTTTCTTGGGGAATTCAATGTGGAGCCGTCCGCCTGCTTGAAACAGGCGCCGAAGACAGCCAAGATCTACCTCATAGAGGGGGGGAGGGAGGGTGCGAGGGCCCGCGCCGATCGGCAGAACAGCGAATAAGGAAACGACCACATGCTCAATCTTCTTCCTCGACCCTCCCATCTCGTTGTGGTCGGCGTGCTCCTCGCCGCGCCTCCTTCTCGTCCTCCCTCTGCTCCAACCCCTCCAGCTCCCCCGCTGATCTCTTCCTCTGGCTCCCCTTTTCTGCGGCTGTTCCTCCTCCCCGTCCTCCTCCTCCTCCTCCTCAACCTTCTCCTCCTCAACTTTCTTCTCCTCCCTCTCCTCTTACCTCCTCCGCCCCCCCGTCCTCCCGCCTCCCTCCTCCGTCCTCCTCCTCGTCCTCTTCCCGTCCTCCTCCTGCTTCGTGATCGTCCCCCGCAGGCTGAGTTATCCCACGCCGGAATCCCTGTCACCATCCTCCTGCGCTCCCCCCCCCTCCGCAGACTGCAAGCCTCGGCCGCGGCCCGGAAGGCGCTGGGCACCTCCTCGGGCCTGGCGGCCATCGCGCAGAAGCCGGACTGCGACATGGCCTCTCCGAGCTCGAGCTGGTGCACGTCTTTGATTCCTCGTCCTCGTCAGCAAGATCCAATCGCGCTCGCACGCTTCTACCGCAGAGCCATCGCCCGGTTCCTCTTACACGTGGCTGTCCCGAGAGACGAGACAAGCGCAGCGCTCAGTGGCCAGTGTCCATTACCGCCATCTCCCCCCCTACCACACACTTGCTTACCTTACCCTATTTACTCAATTACTTAATCCAGTACTTACTCATGCAAATGCTTACTTAATGAATGGTTTTATATTATTTCTTACTTACTTACTTACTTACTTACTTACTTACTTACTTACTTACTTATTTTGGGGGCTTCGAGGCCACGCGCGCGGCGGCGCCGCGTGGGTTAACTCAAGCGGACGAACGCACACCTGTACACACGGCATCCCCTCTCCTATCGGGGAGACGTAAGACCCGGGTACGGGGGACTCGGAAATCCCCGACGAGGTCGTCAAAAAAATGACGAGGCCGAGCCTGCATTTTGACGAGGCCTCCCGCTGCAGACATCCCACGAAACTCCTCCTCGTCAAAATCCGAGTCGCGGTCGTCAAAAAACGATGGCGAACCCGAGTCCCGGCAAACCCGGGTCTTACGCTCCCCCGATCCTATTCCTGCTGCTCCACCCCAAGTGGACTCGATGCCTGGGCGCCCGGCAGGTTGTGTGAGCGCTTGGGTAGAGCCGCATACCATACCGGTGTGTCTCACGCTGGCTCTCAGCAGGCCGTGGGGACAGCACGTCCGTTGGCGCCCTTGGCATTTCGGGGGCGCAGTGCTGCGCAACCTACTGCTGGACTGCTGTCTTGTTAGAGGCCCCCTAGATGGGGTCGGAGTAGATGGGGTCGGAGGATCGCGCCGCATCGCCGATAAATCGGCGATGCATCGGCGATGCATCAGCGATGCACCGGCGATGCATCGGCGACATCGCCGATGCATCGGCGACGTCGGCATTGAGAAAATCGGGCTCCGCATCGAGCCGCATCGCCGATGCATCGGCGATGCGGCGCGATCCTCCGACCCCATCTACTCCGACCCCATCTAGGAGGCCTAGACTCGTGCTCCCTGTGCCTTCTTCCGTTTGCACCCCGCTGCCTCTCTGGCCCGGTCTCCATCTTGCTGACAGGGGCGCCCACGGCGCCCAGAGAGGCCGCGCGGGGGCGCGGGTCCCTCAGGCTTCTGGCCGCTCGAGGCTGCCCCAGGATCCCCATACAGACCCCCAACGGTAGCCCCAAGAGGGTCCCCACAGACCTCCAAGACGGCCCAAGAGGGCCCCAAGACAGCCCCAAATGGCCCGAGCCGACCCGCCAAGAGGCCCCCAAAGACCCCCAAGAGGACCAAGGAAAGGCGCAAAGTGGGCTCCAAGAAGAAGAGGAAGAAGCTGAGGAAGAAGATGAGGAACACAAGGAACAGGAAATGGATAAAGAGAAAATGGAACCGGAAGCGAAATAGGAGGACGAAGAGAATCGTGGCGGAAGGGGTGGTGGGAGGGGACGATGAAAAACGCAAGAAGAAAAATACGAGGGAAAAGCGCAACGTGTGATTGCAAGGCGAGGCAAAGGGAATCCACAAAAAAACTCAGTCTGACTGCCGGCGGCACAGGGCTGAGCCCTTCAGATACGAAGGCGGCTTGCCACACAAAAAGCCCACGGCATGGATCGACCTAAACCGTGTTTTGTGTTCGCTGTGTTTTTCCTGGCCATCCTGTGGTGTTGGGTCCCCGTTTTGAACAGACAGCGCCCCGCCTTCTCTTTTTTGTTTCGTCTTTCCTCCCCCTCCTTTTCCCTACCCCCTGCGTTTCCACCATCCACTGAAGCGTTTCGTGGCCCCTTATGGAACTACACCGAAGGTCCCAATGGCAGAACTCGCATGGAGTTCCCGCGCCCAGTTCGGTGTTTCGTGGCCCCATGAGGAACTCCACCGAAGGTCTCAACGGCGGAACTCGCACGCGGTTCCTGCGCCCACTGCGGTGTTTTGTGGCCCCATTTGAAATTCACCAAAGGTTGTTCCGCCTTGGAGCTCGCGTGCGGTTTGTGCGCCCAGCGCAACATTTTGTGATTCTATTAGAAGCTCCACCGTCGGTCCCAGCGGCGCAACTCGCAAGCGGTTCCCGCGCCCATCGCCCAGAACAGCGCTCCGTGGCCTAGAGGAATTCCACCGAAGGTCACAATGGCGAAACTCGCATGCGCCTCCTGCGCCCACTGCAGCGCTCCGTGGCCCCATAGGGAGCCGCACCGAAGGTCCCAATGGCGGAACTCGCATGCGATTCCCGCGCCCAGTTCGGTGTTTCGTGGCCCCATGAGGAAAATCACCGGAAGTCCCAATGGCGGACCTCGCACGCGGTTCCTGCGCCCACTGCGGTGTTTTGTGCCCCCAACGGGAACTCCACCGAAGGTCCCCGGGCGGAACTCGCATGCCGTTCGTGCGCCCAGTGCAACGCTTCGTGGCCCCACAAGGAGCTACACCGAAGGTCCCAGCGGCGGAATACGCATGCGGTTCCTGCGCCCACCGCAGCGCTTCGTGGCCTAAGGAACTCCACCGAAACTTCCAGCGGCGGAATTCGCACGAGGTCCCAGCGCCCAGCGCAGCTTTTCGTGGTGCCGCAAGGAGCTCCACCGAAGGTCCCAGTGGCGGAACTCGCACGCGGTTCCTGCGCCCAGCGCAGCGCTTCGTGGCCCAATGAGAACACACCTTTCACACGCTCCGTGGCCCCATAGCCTGCGCGCGAGCGGTCCGCCGCCACACCTATTGTGGGTCATGTAGCCTCGCGCCCTGGGCCGTCAGCTGTCCAGCGCGCCGCTCCCCCGGCCGACGTCGCCCAGGCGTGATCCTGGACTGGGGCCGCCACAAAATCGGGAACGAACGGCAAGAAGGATGACGACTGGCGGCTGGAGCTCTACGCGTTGCTTTCGCGCGCCACGCGCCAGGAGGACCACCTGCTCATGCGGGCGACGCAAACCAAGCTCTTCCTTGCAAGGCCGCCCTTGCGGAAACAACTGGAGCATTTTGCGGCGCGCACGAAACGGTGCCAGAGGTAGGCGACGGCCCTCGCCAGGGAGCTGGGCTTCAGCGTCGTATTTGCGAAGCATGACCACGGGAACGGCCGATCCGAGCCTCGCTTTCTCTCGACGGTCTGATGGCTTGGCCTCGCGCCCCGGACGACCCGCGCGCGTCGCTGGGACCTTCTCGGAACGACCAGCGTTCTTGGAACTCTATGCTGCGCTCTGCCCAACGCCTCGCTTGCCTGTCGTCGCTCTGCCCAGCAGTCAGAGCCTCGCCTGCAATCGGCCAGTAAGCTAGCTCTCATTGCTCCGCGCAGCGGACGACACGCGCGCGTCGTTGGGACCCGTTCGGGGCGACCGGCGCGAGTCGCGGGGACTCCGCGCCGCGCTGCGCCCGCAGCATTGGGCTTTGGAGTGCGCGGGCGCAAAGGGAGAAGAAAAAAAAACAATCTTGGGCGGTCTAGCTTTGTCGCTACCCCCCACCAATCAGATCGCGGACAGAGGGAGCCACGCCGAAGGCCCTATGGGGAGTTCCACCGAAGGCCCCAACGACAGCGCCCGCGTGCCGCCGCCATTTCACTGTGGCACACCCTTCACACGGTTCGTGCCCCCATAAGGAGCTCCACTGACGACGATGTTCACTGATGCGGTACTCGCGGCTGCACATGGTTGGGTCCTTCGCCAGGCTAACCGGGCTCCCTCGTTTTGTTTTCGTTCCGCCTTTGCTGCAGATTGGTAGTCCCCAAACGTGGTGGTGACAACACCTGGCGGTGAGTCTCGGGCGATTTGGTGTCACCGCCCGGTTTGGGGACTCATGCGCTTGTTCGAGGATGTCCCGAACGCTGGTGGGCCCAGGAGTCACAAGACCCGACGGTGAGCCCGTGTCCCAAAACCCGGGGGTGACTTTTTGGGGATTCCAGGTCACCACCTGATATCTCGCCACCTGGTTTGGGGGCTCCCAAGCAAAACGAAGGCGTAACGACAATGGCCGGCGAAATCGCCAAAACACCGTTTAGACCGAGTCCTGCCCCCCCCGGGAGACTCTTCATCCCCGACTGGCCCAAGAACCCACAGAGCCTCAGGGCATTTAAGAAAAATCAGCGATTGACGACACCAAGAGGGCCACCTATTCTTAGAGCAAAATCGCGTACCTCATGCGTCCAACGTCATCGAATTGATCGGTGCCGCGCGCAAGCACCAGCACGAATCATCGGACCGATCGGACAGTGAAGAGCCCGGGCCAGTCACCAAAGCTGAAGGCCATTACACACGGGGCTAAGGTTAAGAAAGGGGTGAGGGGGATCGCGCCGCCTCGACGATTCACACGGCGACGTCAGGACGGAGAACGCCAGGCCGTGGATCGAGCCGCCTCGCCGATGCGGTGCGGTCATACGACCCCGCCCTCCCAGGCCATTTGGGAAGCCCTGGAGAGAGAGAGAGAGAGAGAGAGAGACGCGGGAGCAAAACATCGGCCCGCCTGGTGGTTGTCCATGAGGCTGGGGTTAACCACCACAAGCAGGCGCTTCCCCGCGCGGAGGGCCTCCAGGATGGAGCCCGCCCCCGCCTCGGCCGCCCACCGGCGAGGAAGGCTCACTGTGCGGTGCGTCTCCTTCTTTTCCTCCTCCTCCACCTTCTCTTCCTCCTCCTCCTGCTCCTCCTGTCCTTCTCCTCCTGCTCCTCCTACTCCTCCTCCTCCTCCTCCTATCCTCCTCCTCCTCCTCCTCCTCCTCCTCCTCCTCCTCCTCCTCGTCCTCCTCCTCCTCCTCCTCCTCCTCCTCCTCCTCCTCCTCTTATCCTCCTCCTCTTATCCTTCTCCTCCTTCTCCTATCCTCCTCTTCCTTCTCCTCCGGCTCCTCCTATCCTTCTCCTCCTCATCCTAGTATTCCTCATCCTCTCCCCCTTCTCTTCCCCACTCCACCTCGCCCACCTCCTCATAATGCCAGCTCTCTGTCTCCCTCTTTCTCTCTCTCTCTCTCTCTCAATCTCTCCTCCCCTCAATTTCCATAGACCCCCACCCTCATCTACATTCCTGAGCACCTCCCTGTTCCCTACTCCCTTATCGACAGCCCCATTTACATCGGCCCTCCCCCCAGTGATCTCACCCTGCTTCAGCTTCTGGGAGGCCGACCATATTGATGTTGTTGTTCCTTCTGCGCGTGAGCCAGGCTGACTCAGTCCTCGGTCCACACGATACTGTAATGAAGGAAAGACCGAAAATATGAGGATTGGGCACCAAAAATAAAGATAACGTTCACGCCGAACTGAAGGCAATGAACTCCTTGTCAAGCGAAGCCCGGCGCTGTAGGCCAAGACGAACGCCCAGACGGCCGGAAGGCCGCTGATGAACATGCAGGAGAAGAACTCCGCCAAGGACAGGGAACAAGAGAGAGACGTTGGCCGTGGACTGCTTTACCGAGACTCAAGCGACGGGCGACTTACAGAAGACGCAGGGCCCAGGGTGCCAACGCTCTAGAGGAAAGGCGTGCCAAGGCCACCAGCTCCATGTCGAAAGCGCCGGCCTGGGAAAGGATTGCCCACCTAGCCAGCGGACGCCAGCACGATGTATGTGAGGACCCTCCAGCAGCCAGAAAAGGAAGAAAGTGGCAGTGAAAAGGAAGCCGTCGCCTCGCCAGCTGCCGAGAATGGCGGTACAGGGATGTAGAACAAAACTGGAACATGCAGGCGAACCTCGTGCACACCTGCGAGCCCTCAATGGAGCGTCGTGATGAGGGTAATGCTGTATTGAACGTGCCCTGGCAGGGCTGGCCCTCCGATGGCCCGTGTCGTGTGACGTACTTTGTGACGCACTTTGCCATTAGTCGTAGCCCCGAGCAGGTAAACCATGCTGTAATGAGCTCTGTCGTGCCGCGGGAGCGGCGCCGCTGTCGCGGCTCTGCGGTATTTGTATCATCTCAGCACAAAAGAATCTGGGCCTGAGGCCCCAAGGTGCTTCCCCCGCGCCGGTCACGCAAAATGCGTCCGAGGTCCGTGGAACCGAAGGTGCTGTCCACGGACGACGCCCCCCGCAGGGGCATATTGATGTTGCCGAGATGTTGGGGGAATTGACAAGGGGAGTTGGAATAGGAGGGGAGGGAGATGAGGGTGCAGAAGGGGTAAGAGGAGGAGGATGAGGAGGATGTGGGGACAAATGCAAGGAACAGGCGGAGAGAGATAAGGAAACGAAGCAGGAGGAGGACTTATGGAAGTATGGGTAAGTATTGCGACCGCCAGTTACGTATTGAAATCGTTCCAGCTGTTCCCTGGCAAGCTCAGATCAACTGTGAGCGTTGACGTCTGCAGGGAGTGGAGACAAACGAGCCGCAGCATGCAAGGCGATCGGATCATCCGCGCCATGTACTCCTACTCTCCTCAATGTCCTGTTCAAGCTGCTGCCAGTTCGTACTGCACTCCCTGTTCCTCCATCTCGTCGTCGTGCCCCTCCTATTCACCCTGCCACTGCTCCTCCTGGTCAGCATGGTTCACCCTCCCTCCTGCAGCTCCTCTCCTCCTTTTCTCCGCGACGAGCCGCGAGTGCGAGGGCTCAACGCGTCCGCCCCTCCTTCTCCTCCTCCCCCTCCTCCTCCTCCTCCTGCTCCTCCTCCTCCCCCCCCTGCTGCTGCTCCTCCTCCTCCTCCTCCCCCCCTGCTCCTCCTCCTCCTCCTCCTCCTCCCAACGCCCTCCTCCTGCTCCGAACCGCAGCCGGGGTCCCGGCGTGCGAGACGATCAGATCGGCCGCCTCCACGTCCTCCAAGAGGCTCGGCTTGAACCGGTACGCCGTCACCTCCAGCAGGTCAGCCGAGTCCTCCGGTCGCCCAAGGAGGCGCGCGCCGAGAGCCCGAGGCGTCGGCCATACTTGCGGATGCCATGGCAATGAACACCCTAGCAATCCTGGCGTTGGATCAAACATGTGTTGAAAATGTGTAAAACATGTTCTGACAATGTTTCACACATGTTCTTCCATGTTTGAAGCATGTTTGAGCCATGTTTTTGACATCTGGGAATAATTTGGCAGCATGCTTCCTCTCCATTGATTGACTTCTACGCACTCACCGATGCCGATGCTGGTCGGGCCCATCTGGGGCCCAGAATCGATATACATGCCTTCCTGGCCAAGCCAGGAGGGCGTATACAGATCCTGGGCCCAGGGTGGGCCTGGCGAGGATCCGTAGATGTAGTTGAACCAAGTCGCCGACGCATCGGCGACGCATCGGCGATGCAGGGAGAAGAAAATCGTGCTCCAAATCGCGCCATATCGCCGATGCGGCGCGATCCTCCGACATGAGTTACTCTGGCCCCATTTGGGAGGCCTGGAGTTTTCGGATGCCTTATGCGCATGCTTCGTCTGCGTTACACAACTGTTGCAAAATATCGGAAAACTTTCGGCGGATTCAGGGGGATTCACGGTAGGAAGAGAACCTGGAGAGGGGCGAGTAGAGGAGTCGGAATTAGAAGACTTTGAGCGAGCCCAGGGGGATGCCAGAAGGTTCTAGAGGGAGTGTCCTCAGATAATGGAAAAGTGGAGGGAAAGGTACTTGCCATGATTTGCCACGCTCCCTCTGGTAACAGCCGACCGCGAAAGCGCTACGGAGGAGAATGACGAGGAGGATGATGTCGAGGACGAGGGTACGAGGAGGTTAAGGACGAGGTGGCACGAGGAGAACAAGTGATGCATGCAATCTCAGGGGTACCCGATACATCGAGAAGTGTTTCCACACAGTGGAGGTCGTAGCAGAAAGATCAACCAAGTAACAACTTGAGCACATCGTAGTAACAACAACGGGGGCGCACTCAACACGCTCGGGAAAACGCGCAAATGCGCGCACACACAAACACACGCACATAGCATAAGCTGTGCGAAGCACACGGGCTCAACATGCGGACCAAACTCAGGAACTAAATACATTTGCCAAGGGGCGCGTGCGCAATACGATGTGGCGCAAAAAGGGCGCAGAGCACCGGCCGGCACACGCACGCGCACCCCCCCTCTCTCTCTCTGACTCTTCCTCTCGGACTCGCAATCGCACGTGCTCATTCGCGCCTACGCTCCCCCGACGCCTCAGAGTGGGGGCCGCGCGAGACAGGGATGAACGCGCTGAACTTGGGGGCTTGCACCGCAACAGCCAACCTCTTGGGGTCAGCGCGGAGAGCGATTTGTCACCCCTGCATGCACACAGAATGGAGACGGACAGCCAGGCCTCGCAACCCAGGCTCACGTCTTTGCCGGTCCCAGAGGACACAGCTGCACATGTCGGCACAAACCTACGTCCCTCGGGTGTTCTGGATCCCCTGAGCCACCCCGCCAGGAGGCAACCAGGGCCGCGACACTGCGAGCGCAAGTTCGGGAGCGGCCAAGAGGGGGGTGTCCAAGAGGGGGGGTGCAAATCATGGCCGGCGGCACGTGCGCGGCCCAGCGGGGGGGCCAGGGACGCAATAAAATAAGAAGAGGCGCCATGAGATCTGGGGAAATATCATGGCCCACGCCACGATATCCACCCCCCTAGTCATCCCCCCCCTTTGCCGCCGCCCCCGACAAGTGCACGAACCCCCGCCAGGAGGTTACCCCCCGCCGGCAAACTGCGCTCGCACGTGCGCGCCACTGGCAGAGGCTTCAGATTTGGCCTCGCTGCACCCCTCGAGGGCAGCGAGGGCGTTGAAGGAGGCGACCGCAAAAGGCCGCGTCGATCGTGCCAGCACCTGGGGCGCCGTCGGCGCCTCCAAGGAGTCCGTGGTCCAAGGAGGTCGGAGGTCGTCGCGCGCTGCCTTAAGGCGCTATTGGCGCGTTCGCAGAGGTCGGAGGCCCGCGCAACCCATGCAGCACGAGTGTGCATCTGGCCAGCTATTCAGGGCGCGTGCGGCTCGCGGAAACGAGCGATACGAGAAGTGTCTGTGCTCGCGGAGCGGGTTATGGGGGGCTCATGCAAGCCAGCATGACTGGTGAGGGCGAAGGAAGAGCGACACCGCACAGCAATTCCAAAGATCCCCTCCGCTCCTCGTTGACACGGTCCGCTGGAGTGAATACGTTAGTTTCGCTTCGCGAGGGGCTAGCACTGCATCGATAGCAAATCGAACTTCATCAATGCCCCTGCAGAGCTCGAGCTCGGCATCGCGCGCCCGGCCATAGATCCGAAACTCATGCCGACGCGCTCGCCATGTCATGCCTGCGAATCCTCGGCTACCGCGTTTCCCCAGAAGCAGCCGGCAAGAGCGATGGGCAGATCAGAGAAGCGAGAGGGGCAATGCGACAAAATGTGGGTGTCATTCCATGCCGTCCTTTGTCTCACTCTGGACAACGATCTCGCATGGGGTACGGAACTCGCTATCACTGCCACAGCTTCCAGATGCGTACTCGCCGCATGTCCCCGTCTAGTAGCTGTCGGACTTGCTAGCAAGACCTCGCGAACAATGCATCAAGGCGCTGGAGGGTATCAACTCGTCCACGCTCGCGGTGAGTAGAGCTGCGTGGTGACGGCAACAACTGATCGCGTTCATGCAAGAGCATGGTGACAGCGTAATTCCACAAGCTGCTAAATCTCAAAGCCTGGTGAATGAAGACATCGACGACTGCGGCGAGCGGGCCTTGACCTGGTTCGGCCACCTGCTCAACACCGTATGGACCATTCGCGAGAACTGAGGTAGCGACGTGCACGCAGTAGGTATCGCAAGGCTTCTGCTGCGAAGGTGCTATCGACGGGGCCCCTCTTGCCCTGCGCTTTTTACCCGGATGACTTACTGATTTCCATTCTCCTTGTTTTCCCCGGGCCAGCGTTGCTTGTTGGGGCCTAGCGGATCCATCCGGGAGGTCAAAAGGGGCCCTAGAGGAATACCTCGGCCCCGCCTCAGGAGACGCGCCTGATAACGAGGAACAACTCACGCCCGACGACGGCGCAGACGTCGGGCGTCTGCCTCCTCCTCGCCAGCATCAGATAAACTCCCTCGGGCTCAGATTGTCGCCCCCGCCAACAGTACTTCCCCAGCGACGCCTGGCTGGACCCTGGAGACGTCCTCTCACCCATTTCCTTTGATATGTCCGAAGGCGTCTCCTTGGGCGATCTCCTGCGACGTGGCCGTCCGGGCAGCTCGATTCGAGGAACAAATGTTAGCCAGCGTGGACCCCCAACAGTGCGCTTCTGCAGTATAGGCTGTGCAAAATATGTGGGGCAAAATATGTGATGCAATCTACGTGGTGCAACCTATGCTGTGCAATATATTTTTGCCAGATCTACTAATATCTAGAGATAAATGTGGTATCAGTTATGTTGCGGCATAGTTGTGAAACAAAATATAATGTGCAAGCTACATTGTGCAATAGATGTGGTGAAATGTATTTAGTGCGCAATACATGCTGGTAAAATCGACGCGGTGCAATACAATCGATGAGGTGCACTCGACGTGGTGCAACCTGTGGTGCCATCCACGTGGTGCAACTCATGCGGTGCAATCTACGTGTCGCAATCTATGTTGTGCAATCTGAGCGGCGACGAGGCGGCGACGGGTCGTCAACGGCGAGAACATAGCCACCGGACAAACAGCAAGGCCCTGATCGTCAGAGAAGAACAACCCTATGCGCGAGAAAGGTTTCGGATTAAACTGCAAGAGTATGATGTCTCCGAGGTTCGCGCGGATTTCTTGGATCGGCACTGGACAGAATTTAACCTTCCTGTCGCTCGGAGCGCGACAAATGCGGCGCCAGAGGCGCCGCCAGGGGGAGCCAGCGCCGCTCCAAGAAATCCGCGCGCACCCTAGAGAAAGTATGCTTCTGCACTTTGCGTTATTCGATCCAGTTCACCCGATTGCGATGGCGTGTCTGGGGCCATTCCGATCGACGCCGGCGGTGACGTTGCCGCCGGCGGTCCCGAGCACGAGCTCGTGCCAACACGTGGCCTCATCCGCGCAGCCTGCATCATGGCTGAACCAGCCGCCCACACACGAGAAGGTCCTGGCTCATGCTGTTCCCATCGCGCTGAAGGGCCACATCCCAAGAACAATTTCGAGCACCCAGACACAGTGTCTGCCCGAGACGCTGGCGAAGTGCCCGAGCGAGTAGTATCAGGTCGGGCATGTCCCCCTACGGGCGGGTTTTCGACGAAAAATTAAAAATACTCAACACATGCTTGAACATAATCTGAAAATTATAATAACAATCGTCCCGAAACTGTGTTTTCACTACTTATGTTCTTCCTGGAGAGGGGCATGCCCAACTTAAGAGTAGTATCTCCCCCCAGGGCCCGACGCGAAAACCTTCCTGCTTCGGCACTTTCCTGGTGCTCTAAATTCTCTGGTGACCAAGGATACGGTCGGTTGGAACATCATGATTTCCGGCGCAGATGGCGGCGTCGAGGACACTGGCTTCTGCGTAGCTCCCGAATTGGCCGCGGCATCCGCTGCGGCTGCAAGGAACCCTCGAACTGGCCATCCAAACGCATGGTGCGCCACACTCGACTCCTGCTGACGGCCGACCTGCCAGCCACCGTCCGTGAGGTCAGCCACCAGACAGCGTTTGCTGAACCTGCCCACTTGGCCAAATAAAAATGCCGCTCGAACCCCAAAGCGCGAGCCCCAAAACGCGGCGGACCGACTGACACCTGCGCTGCCCGCTGGCCTCTCGGGGCGACTGGAGCGGTTGGCCGCCATGGGCGCTCGCGCAGGGTGGAGGGGCTGGAGGGGCAGACAGCTACGAGAGGCCCACAGGAACACCGTGAGCACAGGGCGGTGCAGACGGAGGGAGGCCCAGACAGTCCTGTTCCCCACTTGAACGTCTTCTCGCGCCCGGGGAGGGGGCGGGGGAAAAGTGGGAGTGGAGAG